AAGTACACGGATGGTGGTAATTTCATTTTACTTTTTAGCTTTGCCCTATATAACCATACATAAGGAAAAAAAAAAAAAAAAAAAAAGTTATTCGGCGACTGACTAATTTCCGTGACCCATCGGTGCTCTTCCATACGATGTAATGCCAATAAGCGAAAAGTATGCGAAACGCAATTAGTACTATTAATCTGAACAATATTGAATGACTTTTTATGCGGACAATTCAATTAGAAGTTTGCAAAATGATTTCCAGCGAACAGCTCAATAACCATTGATAGACGGTAAAAAAAGCATGTGTATATATATATATATGTATATGGGGTTCTTTGGACAGTAATAACGCTCTTGGATATGTTGATTTGTTGTTTTTAGTGGTATTGTCACGGAGATGCGGCAAATAATCTAGAAAAACGCTTCGTACAAAAAATTCGCTGAATGGAACTTCTGCTTTTTTTGTCCCCGAACTCTGCCTGTAAGCTTTTGAAGTAGAGCTTTCGAATCATCTTCTTTGCTAACGCCACCCTTAGCGTACTCAACGACCCCTGGCTAGTCAGACCGGCCATCGAAACGGTCCATTTCATAGGTGTAATTTTATGGAGAACCAAAAAAGAGACAGGCTTGCAATTGAATCGTGTCCGTTCCGATTTTGTAGTAACACCAATTCGTCCATCGACATTATATCATCCTAACAATACAAATAACACGTCCGTCACCTTCTAGTAAATTTTCCTCGTACTAATACACCGTACGCTCTACCTAGCGCGTCGGTTCTCGCCGTAGCGTTTTTGCCTTATCCCCTCTTGGGTTGGCGTCCGAGAGCGAAGCCAGCAACCTCTCTGATATATACTTTGTTCTTAACCGCTGACAATGGAGGCTGGGAAAGTAAACCCGAAAGCGAAGGCAAATGAGAAATGCAGCGGGCAACGTTTTGTACCTGGAGTTCTTGCTACTTCGCGATGAAACAAATTGCGTCTGTTTAGCTTATTCACTGGCTAAAATTTAACCAAAACCAGAGACGAAGTTTGTAATAGAGACAGCTACAGCAGCGGCGAAGGTCCAACGGTAGACAGTAGCTCGAGCAAACTGGCAAAGCTTGACATGCGGAGGAACGACAAAAGAACCCTGCGACGACGGTAACTGTGGCTACCTTAACGCCATCACCGTGGACAACTGTACAACAGATACAAAGTACGAAAGCGAAATGGGCAGCAAAAAGCAGAACGTGCTCGCTTTATTTATGTCACACCGCCATCTTTGAAACTCTTACATCTCGCGAGCAATTTAAGAGTAGCAGCAGCAGAAAGTTAGCAGGGCGAGATACAGTATGCAAGATATCGGGAGCACTTTTGTTCGCAAGTCGCAACGTCACTGCCTCAGCCGGTCTCCTGACGACCTTCGGCTGTGGCGTGCTACTGCAGGACAAACGTGAGACACGGTTCGGCTTTCATGGCCACGCGCCCTATGGCCGTAGACTTTCGTCCCCGTTCTCTCGTCCCCGTTCTCTCGTCGCCATACCTTATACGCTTGGTTAGACCTGTGAGATGGATGGTGATGGCTGTAATATCGGTAGCTATCGTGAGATTGGTGGCCGGACCCTTCTACTGGCTGCTGCAAGATTACTTGTTCTCGAAAAAGTAAAAAAAGTTACATACATTGGGGTACTCGGCTGAACAAGGTAGGTGAATGGATAGATAAGGAAAACATGGAAGAACTGCGTCAGTGAAATGTTGACTTAAGAACAATACTAATTCTGATTTCTGGCTTATATTTGGTACATCTATAATTTTTGCTGATATATGTAAGCAGTAGAAGAAATTACATGAAACATAGTTCCCGCTGGTAGTGCCATGTAGTAGTTGCCGCTGTCGAAAATTTTTGCCTCGCTTGACGTTTCGCAATATGACGCCAGTTAGGTATCCGTTAACAAGATAAATAGATGCATTTGCTAATTGAATTTGCATAAAGCGAAAAGCACGTAGAGAGTCATAGGAACTAACTAGATTCAGTAACTTGCTCCGTATCAGCAAACTAAGTTACCGTGCGGACTAGTTCCGTTGTTCTGAGTCCTGCTGTATAATGATCTATACTTGCAACACTTATTGTCTTATTATACCGTGTAGTGTAATATATGCCTGATGACTAACGGTATATGTACAAGTCTCTAGTCTAATGCTGTTTCAATTCTTAATGCCTGTCCAAGGTCGGCTATACTAACCCCTTTCTGCTGGGGAAGAAAAACTGCAAGGATAAACAGCGGTTCAGTATTTCTACATATGGTAAAATCAAATACATTTTCAATTTTTTTAGCCACTAAACCGTATTGGCCGGCCTGAGCAGTCAACAAATCCTATATTCAGTTGGCACGATGAAGAGTTGAACTTGCGATGTTTAGCAATCTAGTTACAGGGCCCAAGGCGGCAAAGGTCCGCATGGGGTTCCGTGCCTCATGTCTCGCGGATTGACCATCTAACATTTTCTGCGCCCTAGTGTTAAGCTGATAGAATTCGAGTTAACATGTCAATTTCGTGTTAACAAGAGCCTGTCTTGATTAGTTTACATGATCGAGATATTGCCCTTATGGCAATGCTAAATAAACTAGCGATGCAACGTGAAAAAGGCCAGCTGACTGAGTTGACGCTTTATGTTACCATCATTCATCATTTCTACGGTTCCTTTGTCTTTGAATCAAACTGCCCTCAACTCTGGGTATCGACCCTGGTGACCCCTGAAGTTCATCAACTGCTTACGATAACGATAGCGGCTTGCCAAACTGGCCAAGTCTGTCGCGAATTAAATTCATTAGTAATGAATTATAACAGTTGCTTTTTGGATAAATTTCTTATCACTTGAATATAACTATCAGTTGGCTATTATGGAGGCACTATAAGATCGAAATGTCGAAAAAAGAATATGTTAATCATTGTATAAGCTCGGTCGCGCGCAAACACCGCGAATATCATCTCTATTCCTATTAAATGGACACATAATTGATATAAGCACAATAAAAAATAACGACTAAACTAAACTTTCTTTATTTTTTTCTATAAATCTATGTAGATATCGCCTAGATCATATACCACTTTTACAGAGGCTGGATATAGTCTCTCAGCCACGGACCGTTCGGGTCGTATGACGAGAGCTACTATGACTTTTCGCTAGTCGTAGAAGATCGACGGCAATGGTCCGCGCTGCTTAATTACCATTAATGAGGCAAATTTGCTTTCTCAGCTAAAACGTTCTATTCTTCCCTCCGGAGGCTAGTGCAACTCGTCCGGGTAACTGTCAAGAGACGCAAATTTAAATTAAATGCAGCTTTTCAGTGAATGTCTCGGTGGTAAGCAATATGAAGGTCTACGTACGTTCTTTGAACACACCTGAATCAATTGTCTTCGTCATCGATGCTCAGTTAATACTTTTCTTAGCATTTAAACTGGTTAAGAAGAACGAAATTAACATAAGGAAACAAGCAACGAGCTGAAAAATGTATAGCGGTCGGCTAACGACCGGGTCGGTTAATAATGGGGTCAGCGATGACGGCGTTAGATAAACAGCCAAAGGATGTTTTTCGTTATTTACTCAGGATAAATAAAAATGAAAGTTGTTATCTCACCTATTATCTACCCGAAGTCAGTCAGCTAGAATTGGTTAGCTTTACCTCATCGATCATCTATCTACGTCAACGTGCGGTCGTCTACGTAAAAAAGTCTTGCGGAAGTTAGTGTACGCACGCGGTTCAAAACGGTCTTCCAGCTCCGCTGGTTGGACAACTAGCCTAGGAATATCACCCTGTTTAAAATTCATGGCCTTGGATCGTTTGTATATTTCTATACATATCTAAGCAGCAACAAATGGTTAATAATTACTAGCCATAGACTCGTCTTGATCTCATCGCATGTATCCCTAGAGTCTCCCTTCGCCTCTCATCTACATGTACCAACTCAAAGCTCGTAGCCTTTTTTCAATTAGCTACAGTTGGTGCTCGTTATTTATTTTGCCTCGGAAAATCATTATGATTATATTAATCAAGAACGATCAGCCTACAGAGATGGGCGGAGGAGTATTAGATAAGGACGCACACTGGCGCGTAAAAGCAAGTAGACTTCAAGTTAGGACAAAGCATGTTTACATGAGAACGGTAGCTCTTTCCTGTTTTCAAAATGTGACTACTTATGCACCATCTTAACGCAAAGCTAGCATATATGTACACTGTACATACCACATACGCTAACGTAACCATCATCATGCTTAGACACGGCAACTTTTTACCTGGTCGAATTCGTCAAATATTCCTCCCGTCGAATGTGAAGGGTGGAAACGAGGCGCTAGGAATCAACTGTCGCATATTTAACATAAACTTACATGTTATTGTAGCCGCGCCAAGGGCTCAGCTACGGCCGAGATCAACACTTGAACAGAACATAAATCGAGGATAAACAAATACAAAAGTGTTCCGCTGATTCGAGGCTTTCGACACTGCACTCAATTCGTTGCTGAAGAAGCGGGTGTCGCAAAACGTTTGTGAAGCCGATAAAACTTTCCTACGTCCCATATGTTTTATCGACAATTATGGCATGCACTGTTATCACGTTACAGGACGATGGACCCAATACCTGACACGGCGTTGCTTCTATGACGAGTAAAAGCCGCGAGAAGGTATTAGGAAATACAGTCTTTGAGCAGTCTCGGCTAAGCAGATAAATAGAAAAAAGGACCTTTGCGGTTTCGTCGCAGTGCAGCGTCCCGATTAAGCGTCAGTACTGTTATACTCGTTGTTTGTTTCGAAAGCGTGAGCTCAAAAACACTTACTAAGATTAGAATAAGCTGCGACAATTAGTCACCGCGACGTAATTTCGAATTGGCTAAGTTTATAGAACTGGTCATTGGTACGTTATACCAAAAAACATATTTGCCGCCTCTGTGGAAGGTGAAAATCCTGCAAAGTAATTTTCACAGCAGCTAAATTCGCACGCGTGCGTAAACGAAAGAAAATGCAACTTAGAGACTTTTCAATTTTAGCGAAACGTTTTATTAAGGTATATTGCGTATTTATAGTAATGCTCGAAGGAGCCTAGGCATCTGCTCTGCGTGAAGGTGAGCCGATTCAGCTTGGGCCACACAGACAAAGCTTATTTTGTTAACTTTTTGTTGTTTGTTAAGCTTCTTCAACATTTAACAGATATCGTAAGGAGTGGCTATATAATAATAATAATAAAGCAATAACGTATAAGCGTACATTTATTTCGTTATAAATAAACGAATTGCAGACATAAATGAGTACAGTAACTTCGGTCTGTGTACAGATGCCAGATATCTGTACATATATATTCAGATCGATTAGTCCAAACAAATAAATCATATATCAATGTCGAATATTTGGGCCAACGAGAATATATTATTGGATATGTATTTAAAAGCGGATAAATGAATAAAATTGATTGTTATCCTGCATGTGTTTTGTAATATATGTAGCACTGTAAATATAAATTGTTTATATATCAATGAAACAGCAAATGCTCCTTTTGGCCACACACGAAATCTTTTCTAGGCTGGCTTCAGCCGCTGGCCTTCAGATAGAGCAAAATGGCATCCTAGTACCAACGGAAATGTTGTTCTCGCATTCCATGTAACGATATGAGGCGATACCCTACAAGCGATAGCCTCGTTTTAAATGTTGTCATCGTCCAAAATTGTCGGGTAGCACGGGCCTATATTGGTGCGTTGTATTCACCCCCGTTTACATAATGTTCAGCTCCAAAAGTGACCTCTACACCATCCCTAGCGCCATGTTCGGCATCACGTTCGGACCAAAGTGTGTGCGAAATGGTGTCACCTAATTCATAGACGGATGTCGATTGTTTCAACGTTTTGTAGTTATACTTTTCCATGGTTTGGACGAATGCCAAACACTGGTTAAAATGCTATATATTTATAGTTGAGATTTAACTAGCGTCAACAAATGGAAAAGCGGGTTACGTGTCTCTAGTTGTTTCAGGCTAGAAGGAGTCCAAATTTCGACATAGTGCCGTCTAAAGTCGGAACTGAGCGTCGATTTTACGAACGAATTGTGACTGATAGCTTCGCTTTCTATAGTATACAGCCCTGATAACGATCGCTCGAGCAAAGATTAAGCGTTGCCGAAATAAATTTCCATGGATTATGTTGCGCAGGCTTAAAACTTGGCGCGATTTGGATAGCTGTTGTGACATGTGCAGGACGCTACGCAAGTTATGGTAACGCACTTAAAGGACAGCCTGCGCGCGTAAAAAGGTTTGATATTTTATTACTTCACTCCGTTTGATTATTTCGCTAGGAAGCCGATTTCAAAATGTATAATAAACGCAGCTTGTATGGTAAGAGGTATATGCACGAGACGCCCATCGATTGCAGGATTCAGGAAGGGCGAAGATTACAGTGTTTTTATGAATAGTGTCTTGAGAGAAACCGTAACAGCACTTACACATATTCACGTATACTTTCGCCGAACACTCATGGGGCTGGGAAAATTTTTTAAGGGGAAGCCGATTCTGCTAAGTCGTGTAAAAAATAACTGACTGATCGTACCTGTTTATTCAACTTTCCTTTCCTCTATCTCTCTTTATCTTGATCCGTCTCTCTCTCTCTCTCTCGCTCTATATGTATACGTATACATACCACCCTTTAAGAGGCAATTGCCTACTTCGTGTTGTCTAGCCAGTATTCCTGCAGTGGGTGTCAACACACTAAATGCCCATTTTATATTCGTTATATATATAGACAGTTCACCGTCGTGAACATCTCACTTGGAAACTGGAAAACCTTGGAACTATTTCCTGATATTTCATAAATCCGATAATGAACTGTGTTGTTTTTAATTGTCTACCAGCTGTCGCTTGACAGTCCTCACCAGTGCGTTTCTTCCTCTATCGCAGCCGTGCGACGCTTCATGGTTAAAATATTGTGGCGTCTGTCTTCACTCGATACCCTCCTCGTGTGAGCAAACTTTCCATAGGGGCCTAAGGGACGTCCAGGCAGATACGCCACTATATCGGACGCCTAAAGCTATTCGAGAAAAGTAACATGGCGTACTTGTCTATATTTTTATTACATAACATCTGTATCGAAAGAATATCGATATTACATTCATAATGTACTGAAAAACAACAACATTTCAGTTGTTGGCAGCATAATACCCACTATCACTAATCTATTCATCATATGCCTTGTGTGTCAGGCACTGCATCGCGCTATTTTGAACAGCGTACAATTATTGCGTTTTCAGGATAAAGCAGCAAAAAGAAATCAGGCTTGCAGTTAGGAACCACTGCCCTGGGCGCCATGGCACATGCTCAGGAAAGAGAGACCCAGTGTCTCTAAGCGGCATTTCAGACCTCTAATATTGACTCCGCGACTCCACAGCTACACGATACGAAAACGATATGTAATTTAAGGGAGAAAAACATATGCATGTCTTGTAAAAACTTTTCCCTTTGCGTTTTGCGGATTAGCACTATAAACTAACCCGATTGTGTCGTTGGGCCATGCAACGAATCATTGTAAATTATCATGCGTCAAATGTGACTGCGGTGACAAAAAAATTTTTTTATTTAATCAATTGATAGGTCAGTGTGCTGTAGTAATATACTCGTGATGGCGTAGTGGATAAACGCGTGGTGGCCTAGTGGTGTTGGGTAATTTTTTTTTCTAAATTGACAACCCAACTTATCAAAGCAAATAGACAGTCGCAAAGGTGTGTGCCTCTCAGTAGTTCGCTCTAACCCATACTGCAGAAGGTGCCGCGGATAACGTTGTGTGTTGATGGACGACAACTTTGATGCGAAAAAACAAGCGACGGTGTTTCTTCACGCAGAGATTCGCTTACAGCGACTTCGAAGTAGGGTCGATGGCAAGTAGCTAGCTATCGAGGTCCGCGGGCTATACGGGTAATAGGGCTTTGATTTGAGCAGTTGCTCCCGTGCCGGTGGATACTCAACGGCAGGGGGTCTGCGACTGCTGCTACAAGCACGGCATTCTCTAATACGTACGATTTCGAGTCAGCGGGAGGTTTCTTTTGGAACTCTGGAGCACCGCTATGGCGCAAGTGAGTAAGAGCAGCCCGTAGCAGCTTGGCACGTCAGTGGAGAGCTGTGGAGCCCGGATTTAGGGTTTGTCAGAGTCGATCAAGCTGCAGTTACTCTAGTCGATTCGATTCCTTATCCTACGTGCCCCGTACTTTGCACTGTCCTGTTCAGGCGTACCGCCGTCGCCGCCGCCGCCGCCGCCGCTACTCTTGCTGTCGTTAAAAAATTTCATCAATTTTGAAAATTTATCTATTTCCAAAAATCCCTTTCCGCTTTTTGATTCGTGCCTTTTCCTGCTGTTGCTTCCGTCGCCACCGCGACTCTGTCAGCACCACGAGATCACTTCTGCGCTGCAGGGTTCCCAGTGAGGTTTCATTGTCTTTCCTCAGCCTGGAAATGGAAACGACGGCATTCGCTAGGTCTTAGTGAAGAGCAACAGGAGGCGAAAGCAAGGGAAAGGAAGAGAGAGAGAGCGCAGCGGACGGAGGGAAAAGGGTATACCCTATATTTTTCGGAAATTTTCTCGAATGGTATCTCTGTTCCTTCTGCTTTCTGTGCGCCTTCCCCTTTGGCTGTTTTTGCTACCCGGGAGTCTGCCTCTGTGGTACGGTTATGCGGATAAGATTTCAGTGTGTAGCATATTCGCTGTCATTGTTATACGACAACATAGAACATTAGCGAGGGAAAAACAGAAGGAAACGGATTCTGTTCGCGTGCGTATAATAACACACGCTAAGTAAATTGGATTGCAGAGTCCAACACGGGAAAGGTTGGTGATTAAAAACTATTATGGCGGGTACACCGCATTAGTGAGTCACAGAATGCTGCTGGTGGTGTATAGTATTATAACTGTGCTGGATTTGACAGCTCCTCATAGTAACATGCCGGAAGACTGCATTGCAGCTATTGAAATACCTAATCTCATCTCCGCTTATAAGTGACCATAGATAATAGCATAGTAATGTTTTCTTTGAAACTACTTTACACTGCCCTAAATCTATAACAATAAGCTATGGTATTCGAGAATCAACAGGGAATCAGTATAGTAAATATATTGGGGTTTCGTTACGCCGTGCGGCGAACGCTTGTCCAGGTTGTCCAAACTGGCTTTGTGAGCCGAGCGATCAGTCGGTAATTCTGTTTGTATCTTTCGATGTTGACTGTCCAACGCGCGATGCAGAATCAGCTTGTCAGAAGGACGGGGCATGTTGGATCGGGATGAATGCTTGTTGTTAATGGCTACATGCTATGAGTGGCTCAGGAGAGGGGCCACTTGTTCGTCGTCGATCCTGTCATAGGGTAGTTGTGACGATTCAGCAGTGGCTTATCAACAGTTGCTTCGGCCAGCAGCTACTGATCTTCGTAGATGCTGCGACTGCTATGGTGGTTGAATTCGTTATGCAGATGAACCTTGATCCTTGTTTGTCGCAGGCGGAACAAGGGGCGGAACGCGTCTCGAGAACAAAAAAGGGAGAAAAAAGAGGAAGACACGTTTTTGGTCTCTTTTTTGCCTCTCTTCGCTAAGGTTTTGGGACGGAGGGTAACCAGGTGATTACATCGAAACTAACGCTACTAGACCAAATTCATCTTTAGGTTTACATCCTTTTTAGTCTGCCCAGTCGTCTTCTGCAACCCGTTGCTTATGTTGCGTTCCCATACGCACAAGGCCCCGTTCTCCGTGTAGCTTCAAGTTTCTGTCTGTCGCTTTCCCTTCAAAGTGATCGCGACCTTTTACCGATCTTGCTCACCGATACGGGGTCTTTAGGGCCCTACAAATGCAGCATAGTGCTAGATCTGGAGCGCTGTCCTATGATGTCATGTAAACTAATCTCTTCGGAAGACTTGTTGCGGCTATACCTGGAAGTCTTTTTGATGCCAAGTTCTGGAACGGCGTTAAGAGTAACTTCCGCATGCTTACTATTCTTTTCCGTTGCATCTCGCTGTCGTTGTGAGTACGATTTCTTATGTTTACCAGCGAAACGATGGAGAAACCAAGTAACGAACCACGTAGCGGCCGCTGTCCCCGCACAGACGGCATATATGAGAAACATCATCGTGTAACTGCCAATAGTATCACGAAAATATCCTGTGAATTAAATGAAAACATCTCGTTTAATTTATTTTAGGGATCGATAATGAGGATTTGAGTATTTAAGATTTGACATTCCTTAATCTATTATGCATTACTGAAATACGCTAACGAGATCATTTACAGAACACAAGCATTGGGACACACGGATGTTTTATTAACATATCCCCAAGTCATGTTTCACAAACCAAAAAAAAGATAAGCCTCTATGTGGAGAGTAAATGGCCCCGATTTGTTTTGTGCGCTCGACCAAGAGTGGCAAATGACACGCCCTAGACACAGAGTAACGACGCCGAATTAAACGAGCGTACAAAGAAACATGTCTTAACAATAAGCGTCCTCCGGCATCTACTCTTGCAGCCCTCACTATCACATGCCTCCACATTGCTATTACATTGTGCCTGAGAGACGTTACTTTTAAAGGAAAAGTGCCCTAATTTTGACGCTCCAAACGGTTAGCTACAAGAACTGAACCACTATAAGCTCAGAACATTAGCCTCGTTTGGGTGCTCCGAAATGTAGCGGAGCTTTTATACGCATATACAGCGCATGGTGGGAATGACGATGAAGAAAATAGTGATAGAAAGATCGTAAAACAACAATTAAAAAGTTTAAGGTAAGAGCAACAGTAGGGAAGCCAGGGGCGGCAAGAATGTGTAGGTGCTTCGATGCACCGGCATTGCTGCAAAAGCCAGTATGCTGGCCTGCAGGGTCATCACCGCCAACAGCCGGTAGCATTGACAGTGATCGGTAGCCATTGGAAAGTGGTTGTAGAAGCAGTACCCAGTGGCAGCAAGGAGTGCGGCATAAAGTGTCAAAGTCCCGTCCGAGTCCCACGATCTGTCAGAGATATCTTAGGCGAGCGGCAGCCTGGTGAAAAGGAAGCTATAAAATATTCTCACGACTAATAAAGAGAACGGTTGAAGAAATAGAGCTAGGAAGCAGGGGTAGCGATGGAATAGACCCGTAAAATGAAGGCCAGCAAACATATGAGAGAAGCTGGGGCAATGAACTGGGGCGAAACAATGCACGGGTATGCGAAAGGCAAGGCTAGAGAAAAGTAACGCAGAGAGCGTAACCACAGAAAATGGTGCGCTGTATTTGGCATGAAAGGCCAAGGAAGCAACGACGGCAGAAATTGGTTTCTTAGATTCGGTACCAGCGGCACCCCGCCTACGTGTGGTATGCCCGTATTCCATTTCAGCGTTGGCAAGATGCCTAAATATGTCTCTAAAAGTGAAATGCTGATGAATGGCAAAAGGCGAGCAAATGTGGCTGACGTTGCCCAAGATGCAGGACAAAGACAGGAAAAGTTATAGAAAAGGAAGAAGAAAGAAGAAACCCGAAGAAGCCGATGGAGGCGTCCCGGCAACCAACCCAAAGTCAAGCCAACGCGCCTCACCCCCTAGAAGAGCAGCGGCGCTGAAATAAACAAGGAGGGAGTCATGTCAGGATCGCGTAGACAGTCAGCCGACAACTAACCCACGAGCGGCGTGGCGAAACCCAGATCGCACACCATACATACGGTCTGACAGGTGATCAGCTGTAGTAGACGAGGTGTGCCCTGCTATTGCGACTATACGACGAAAGCAATACGTTATAGTAAAACGACATGGTAATTCGGATTCGAAAAGTAAACAGCACATGACGGAGAGGTGTAAAGCAAAGGCATGCCGTTCGAAGCGCTAGTTGCTATTGCGCCGTGCTGTATTGAGTAATACTCAGCAAAACAACCTGAAAAAAAACAGCATCTAATCTCAGGAAGGCCGTAACGAAAACGTTACGCATTCATTGCAGGTATGTACTTGGCGTGCATAATGCTTGTACAGTACGTGCTTTGAGCTACACCTCGCTAGTGTGGTAAATACTTTCGAATATATGATGATCTAAAAGATCGTATTTTGTGAATGTAAATATTCCATTCAGCAACTTACCGATAAAGTATGGTTTTGAAAAATACGTGCTTCCGACGAAGGCTCCCATGATCCCGTAAGCCATTGGTAAACGCGCCGGTCCTATGTGTTCCCCCATTAGCACACCCTGCATCACAATTGAGGTTCCCACTGCAGCACTATGTAGCATTGCCAACAGTGCAATTGAAGTGAAGGTACCCGCCAGCGACACTATAGGGAAACATACGTAGCAAATAGTTTGGAGGGTGTATGATAGGGCTATAAGAAGCTCCTTGTCAATATAGCCCCGATCGCCGAGTTGAGGCACAGTGAGTCTTGAGACCATGTCAGTGATTGAATATAGGGGTACCACAGTGGTCGCCCGGTGTAAGGGGATTCCCTGGTCGACAATGTAATCGATAACCGTAGTAAAGTAGGCATCATACGCGTACATAAATAGCGTAAAGCTTAATATAATCACATAGAACTCGCGGATCTTCATGATCGATAAACTTTCCCAGAACGAAGCATGGCTGGATTGTGTGGGTTTTGCTGCGTCGGCTTGCTCTGCCTTCTCATACCAAGCTGCTTCATTTCTATCTGGGGAGATTTCTGTACCGGTGTTAATGTTGAATATTTCGTTGTTCGGGCTTTGCTCTGCTGGTACTTGGCTCTTTGTGGCGCGTTTAACGGGTTTGAGCCAAGGTGCTTCATGGTGCATGAGACATAACGCGAAGATGTGCAGCAGTATAACACTGAGGATTGGTAACGTACCCCTAAAGCCGAACTCGCCCATTAAATACGTCAGTAGAACCGGAAAAACAAATCCAGCTGTGGTTGAGCCAGCGTAATTAATACCCATTGCAAGGCCGCGCATTTTCGAGAAATACTGTTGAAGGAACACTACGTTGATGGTGTAAACGGTGCCTAGGCCACTGCCAAATATAATACCGAATGTGACGGTAAACCACGCAATGGATGGGGCAAAATAGCACATCATGAGTCCTATCGATATTAAAAGAGAACCGGCGATAATCACTGGTTTAGGCGAAATTGCCTGAGCCAAAGGGCCAGCAAACGTACCTGCAGGTATAAAGAAACTGCTTATTTCAGTGAAAAACGTAATACCTTTCTTGTGTTTTCAACCATCAATGGTCCTTTTATATATTCGCTCATTCGTTAACATTTCGTAGAGAGATAGCATGTTATACATATAGAATTATTAGATGGGATCTGAAACAGTCCAGGTTTACCTGTGTTTAGATATCATCAGTGTTTGATGCAAATTTATGCATATACTTTTGCATAACCAAAATATATACATGTACCTATTTAGCCTGGCTTATAGTTTAACGTAACTCTGGCAGCTGTCGCAGTCTATTGAGCAATAAACAAAAAAAAACTTTACCTTTTTTAGCCGTAGGCATCTACCCATATATTTTCCGAATTTTCGTTACCCCCAACTGGGACACCGGCCTTTGCATTACAATACCGTCCAGCCCAAGATTGCGTAATTCTACTTGACCACCTATATGTTCAACATAATCTACTCTGGCGCAAATTGCATTCAGTCAATTTATATATTATAAAGTTGTTCAATTAACCACTCATATCTATTTCAATGTATCGTAAGCTGCTGTGAAATTATTATAAGGACGTATAGGATAACGTAAATTAAGTCCCTTTCCATCTAAAAACACCTGTATCGGCTTAAACAAAAAACTGGGTCCACATAACAATACAGATCCGACTTGTTCGTTTACCTAATATAAGAACGCGCGATGACCTAGGTTGAAAGCTAGCCAAAAACGAGTTTCGTTTTGTGCTCAAAGCGTGCCGTTTGAAGCAATGCCAATATGTAAATCTCTGAGCGTTTATTGGGTCCAAATGAAAAAAAAAATTGTTTATTTGCATTAGATAGTGTATTTAAATACTATGAAGAACTACCTAAAATGAGTTCCACCTATCTAAACCTAGCCAACATCGTGCAACTGAGCGGGCAAATTATAGTGGAAATGAAAAAAAAAACAAAATCCTGTGTTTTTCACAAGCGTTTTCCAGTTGTAGCTTCACCCTGGCAAAAATTAAATCTTCACCGCCAATTCGTCTTGTTAACCATTAAATTTACAATAT